GTGACAGCAACTGTTGGAATTCAGCTTTTTTGAGTACTCTAACCAGAAAAAACTGATTTTCACTTTTTTTTTTTTGAAAATTTCTGGCCACCGTTTCAAAATTTTGAAGTTCCGACTGTCAGAAGCCTTCAAAAGAACAAAGACAGACGAAAACCTCAAAACTCAGGGAGTTCCTGGGAAAACAGAAAAATTTAAAAAAAGGGCCAACTGAAGTCCGATTGAGAGATGGATTTAGTATCGCTTCGCTCATCTTCCAAAAACTGCTTAACACTTTCTGATGAAAACTACACGAGCATTTTAGTCTAATTTTCTTGGCACACTTTCTGCTCACTGAGACACCAGTAAATGCTGGTTATTATACAGCAAGATTACCAATGGTGCCCAGAGTAACGATGCGAAGCGCTCTGTGTTACCTGACCTCGTGCACGCATCAATCGTCAATCGTAGCTATGCCAGATTTCCCTGTCAGAACCGTTTCCCGCTACTATCTCAGCCATGTGCACACAGCACCCGACAAATTTGGCATTCTTGCAAATTTAGCATTCTTGCCCAAAATTGCAGCAGTCTCAAAAGCTGACATCATTGCCTGTAGTCTGTTGATTAATGCAATCATTTGGCAGTGCTCTTACATGACGCCTCGGAGCGAATCGGTCCACTAGACGCCACTGGGATGACTCTATCCGGGCAGTGCTTCTTTAAGAGCATAGCTGATAGGTGGTCAACTCAGCAGCCATACTAGCATTTACAAAAAATTTAAAAAGTGTTTGCTGATGTCTAGCGTCACTCTCGAAATATTTCCTCTGCACAGCAGAACATGTCGAGCAGATCCGTCACAAATTGGAAGTGACAAGCAACGCATGGGCAGAAAGTGATATGCATACACTGTTAAACTGCAACTGGAAAGAATAACAAAGTCGAAGAACCATTCACCTTAAACACCTATATGGTATCATGCAGGAGTTCAGCCACCACAGAAATGAGCTTACGGAAGAAGCTGTCAACCTCAGCCGCAATGAAAAGAAGCAGAAAGACAAAATAGCATCTGCTCGCAGTTTTTGCGGGAGCAGAGTAATACCTGGCAAGGTTAGAAATTTTTCCAGGGTGTTAGGGTTACCGGAAAAGTGATGGCCACGTATAATAAGCAGCTGAAGCTTAGTAACGCCTGGTGAAGAGCATCTTTGGTTACAAATTTCATAGATCCGAAATGTGATCCGATTGTAATGACGTTTTCGCAAAAAAAGAATCGGCCAGAAGCATATATTCTGTGTCACCCGGAAGAAAAATATTTTTATTAGAAAAGAGCGTTTCTTAGGAAACACAAGCTCTGTGTGCATAAAAGAC